TCTTTTCTACATCGTGGTGACCAAAACTGGATGCCGTATTCCAAATGTAGCCTTATCAAGGCATTATAAAGTGGTATTAACACTTCATGTCCTCTGAGAGTGTACAGTGTACAGGTAGTCCTTGACTTACAACTAGTTGCTTAGAGACCACTCAAAGTTATCACAGACCTAACTTTGGGCTACTTACAACCCAGATTTGAAGTTCCTGTAGTTGATCCGCCCAGCAGTCACTTGACTGAACTTCGAATGCCCAGCAACACAGCTGCCCTCTATGGCCGTCTGCAGCATCCCAAATTTACAAGACTGCATTTCGCAATAGCTTGGGCCAAATCCAGCATTTACATTATCTTCAGCAAAAAACACCCATGGAAAATCATATAACGACCATGGCATTCGTTTAACAAGTACCCAGAATCTCTTGACATTGAGATGGGCTGCATATAAATTTAATTAACAAAATAAAATGTAAAACCGTGGCATTCACTTAATGACTGCCACACAACTGACCCATTTTACAACTGTCACAACTTATGACCGTGATGGACAGGCTCCGCTATGTTTATAAATTGAGGACGATCTGTACAAGGTAAAGGTAAAGGTTCCCCTTGCACATATGTGCTAGTTGTTCTGACTCTAGGGGGCGGTGATCATCTCCGTTTCTAAGCCAAAGAGCCAGCACTGTCCAAAGACGTCTCTGTGGTCATGTGGCTGACATGACTCAACCCCAAAGGTGCACGGAACACTGTTACCTCCCCACCAAAGGTGGTTTCTATTTTTTCTACTTGCATTTTTATGTGCTTTCGAACTGCTAGGTTGGCAGAAGCTGGGACAAGTAAGGGGACCTCACTCCGTTACGTAACGCTAGGGATTCGAACTGCCAAACTGCCGACCTTTCTGATTGATAAGCTCAGCGTCTTAGCCACTGAGCCACTGTGTCAGCTATTCATAATTGAGACGTTGCAAGAAGCAGCAGGTTTCTTACATTTTTAAGGAAAAGATCAACCTTGGCCATCAAGAAGCTATTCTTACTTTCCAGATCATAATATGGTTCTTAAGAAGCGTTGTAACAATCCACATAATATTTGCCACCTTTCTTGACAGCATTTGGGTGATGGATTTTTTTTTAATGCTTATAAATGTGATAAGAGTTCCCCAACATTTCTGGTTGAACTGGAGGGTGGGGATGGCTCAGTGTGAGCAGGGAGGAATGCACAAATCCATTTGTATGAGTTGGGGCACACGCACATACCACTCACACAACTGGAGCACGCCCATGCTCGCCACTGCTTGCACAAGTGGGGATGTGTGCACATGTGCTTACACGGCACTTTTGCAGCCCGGCTCCAAATGGCTTAAGCCCAGTAGTGGGCTGTGGCCTGCAAGTTGGGGACCCCTGTCATAGCACCCCAGTTCACTTCCTGAACAAAAAGGCTATGTGTTTGTGTCTGTATTTTTCTCCACCCTGGCTGCTACTTACTAAAGGTTTCCCAGCCCAGTCATATTCATAATCAAAGACGTAGCCATTCCGGTCAAACAAGTCAGTGAAAAGTTTCCGTAGATAGTCATAATCTGGCTTTTCAAAGAAGTCCAGACGTCGCACGTAGCGGAGGTATGTGGCCATCTCCTCTGCAAAAGAAAAAGGCACATCGGCTGTTTAAAACTCAAGCAAGGAGGAAAAATGCAGATGTGAAGCTCAATAAAATGAAGATGGCGGCAACAAGATAGATAGGAGCTAAAATTATGCTTCTTCATTGTGGAAGTCATCAACTGGAGGCGTTGTGGCCCGCCAGTGGCCAATGGAGCTGGCAACCAATTTTTGTCAGTGATGAGGTTGGGGAGGAACATGGGCCAGTCCTGGAGTCTGGGGAAGGCTCAGATGAGGGCTCTGCATCAGAGGCAGAGAGGGGGCCAGAGCCGTCAGCTGCCTTCAGAGTCAGACATCAGTGAGGCAGACAAACAGCTGGAGCCTGTTCCCAGTGTACGCATGCGCAGAGTTGCCAGACGAAAGGAACAGCTAAAGAACAGGGATCGA